TCTGATGCCAAGTGCTTTTCTTTTAGTAAAAATATGGTGCTTCCAAGTTAGTTTTGTGTCAAAGTGTATTCCTAAATATTTCACTTGGGTAGATTGAGGGATTAAGATATCGTTAAGTCGTACCGGAGGGCAATTTTTCCTTCTCATTGTAAAGGTTATTTGTGAAGACTTAGTCTCATTTGCTTTTATTCTCCAGGTTTTAAGCCACTGGGAAATGTTATCTAGTGCTCGCTGGAGTTTGTTTGATGCTAACTGGTGATTTTCGTCTGTAGCAATTACCACAGTATCATCGGCAAAAGTTCCAATCTCAGTACCAACGGTGGTAGGCAAGTCGTTAGTGAAGAGTAAGTATAACACTGGTCCCAAGACACTGCCTTGTGGCACTCCAGCCTGAATTGGCTGCAAAGTTGACATTTCATCCCCCTGTTTTACAAAGAAATATCGTGATTCGATGTAAGATTTTAAGAAAATATAGTAATTAATTGGGAGCATCTTTTTAAGCTTCAACAATAGGCCGTTATGCCAAACTTTATCAAATGCCTGGGATATGTCCAGAAATGCTGCTGTGCAGTACTTCTTTTTGTCAAATGCTGTATGTATGACATTAACCACTCTGTGTACTTGCTCTATTGTACTGTGTTTTTTTCTAAAACCGAATTGATATTCCGGAATTAGTCTCCTTCTATTGACAATGGGCATTAATCTGGTAAGAAATAAATTTTCCAACAACTTTGACATAACCGGTAGAAGACTAATTGGTCTATATGACTTAACTTCTTTTGCCGTTTTCCCAGGTTTGAGAATCATGGTGATTTGAGCCACCTTGAATTGGGGAGGGATAAAGCCTTTTGTGACAATAGAATTAAAAATGTTTCGCAGCAGTACTATTGCTTCATCCGGTAACTCCTTTAATATTTTTGAAGTAATTAGGTCATAGCCGGGTGCTTTATTTATTTTTAGTTTCTTGATTTCAAATTTTATATCGAAAATGGAGAATTTTTGTATTGGAAGGTCCAGTTGGTACGTTTGCAGTAATACATCTCTAATCTCTTCAGATATACTATTTGGGGCTTCATTAATGTTTGGAACAAAAACTGAAGACAGATGGTCCGTAAATACTTTACATTTTTCTGTATCTGTTCGGGCCCATTGCCCAAGTTCGTTTTTTACTGGTGCATTGTGCGTTGTTGTCTGTTTCTTGATTGCTCGCCAGAGAGAGTAGTTGGTGGAAGTAGTTGCGTCTAGTCTTTGGAGATTTCTTTGTATTTCCAAACTTCTGGTTGTTTTCAGATGTTCTTTTAAATTTTTGATCAGCACATTAAAAAGTTTTTTATCTTTCGGAGATTTGGTTTGTTGCCACCGCCTTCTGGCTGCTCTTTTGGCTCTTATAAGTTCTTGAGTCGTACTACATAATGGTGTGGCGAATTGTTGCATGTTTAAAGGCGTGGATCTCCAGGCTGATTGTTGAATACTCCTTATAAGATGTTCGGTTGCAAGCGCAATTTCTTCGTCTGTTTTAAGCGCCATTTTTTCATCAAGTAATGCCTTAAGTGTATGCCTAAAGGCATCCCAGTTGGTTAATTTGTTGTGCAGATAACATTTTTGAACTTTAAGTTGTATATTCGATTTTATCCGTAATAATACTGGCGAGTGATCTGATGAAAGATCAAAGCTAGATTTACAGAAAGTGTCGTTTTGTCGCACTCCTTTAGTAACACAAAAGTCTAACAAGTCTGGCATTTTTTTGGGATCCGTGGGCCAATAAGTTGGTTCTCCAGACGAGATAGTTGAAAGGTTTTCGCTTCTTATAGCCGCAAGCATCTGTCGTCCTTTGGGTGTTGAAAGCCGAGAGCCCCATTCAACGTGTTTAGCATTAAAATCTCCCCCGCAATAAATCTGTTACCTAAGGTTCTAAAGAATTTTTTATATGTTGCCGTCTTAGTTGCGTGTTTTGGTGGACAGTATACTGATGTTATTGTGATTGAGCCACACCAATCTTTTACTGATATGCTGGTTGCTTGAATCTCTTCAGTGCGGTATTGTTGCATTTCAAAGTGTAATATATTTGTTTTAACTAAAATGCCACTTCCCCCATGAGCCGTTCCATCGGGATGCATAGTGTGGTAAAAGTCATAGCCTGGTACTTTAAAATAATGTTTTGAAGTAAAACGTGCTTCAGATATTAGCATGATGTCTACTTTTTGATCTTTTAAAAATTCTTGTAACTCTAAACAGTGTTTTGACAGCCCATTCGCATTCCAGAGCACTATATTTAATTCACTGTCGGACATAATTTAGTCGTCAGCGTGACAAGAACATTCATTAACGTAGTGATTTGTTCTAACATTTGCTTAACTACTATTAGAACTTCGCTCATGGTATCTGGAGATTTAGGAATAGTATGAGATTTAGGTGATTGTTCCACTAGCACACTAGCATAACTTCTTTTGGGATCCCTTAGGATAGAAACTTTGTCTTTTTCTTCGTCAGTTTCTTTGTTTGTAGTTGTTGTTGGTTTAGGTTTTAGTGTTGGAAATTTCGCGGTTTGTAGCTGCTTATATATCGAACAGCCTTTATAATTTGCAGGATGATTTCCTTCGCATAATACGCATTTGACTTCAGTACTTCTTCCTTGGATTGGACATTGAGACGAAGAATGGTTTTTTGCACATTTGATGCACCTCGGATGTCTTCGACAATAACTTTTCGTGTGGCCATAGTCTTGGCAGTTACTACACTGAGGAATGTCTCGTTTAGGACGAGGAGGCTCAAACGTGACTCGACTATGCATCAAATTCTTTATGCTGTAGATCTCCTTGTTATTTTGTTGAGGCTCAAGTTCTACAATGAAGAGAGGAAGTGGTTTTTTTCGATTCTCTGTGTTTCATATTGAACACGTTTAGAGCTTTATGGCCTATTTCCGCCAGAGCTGTTTTAATGTCCTCGGTATTGACAGACGAATGCATATTTCTCAAGATAGCTTTAAAATTTCGTTCATCTTTAGGCTTGTAGGTATAAAATTCGGTTTTTTTCGATTCGAGTTGCTTTACTATTGTAACATAAGACTCAGTTGTTTTTGCTTGGATTTTTACCTTTTCGTTGTTTAAAACTTTTAGCTCAAAATTGTTTTCTACTTGTGAGGACAAAAGATTTATGAGAGGATTTATGTTATTCACCCTATCTACGAATATTGGTGGAGGTTTGGGCTGTTTTTCCGCATGTTGTGTCACTTCTTCAACTTCTTCTTCTTCTGTTTCTAGTACTGAAAATCTATTTACGGAACGGCTTGGATTGTCTAGCCAGTAACTATCTAATTTAGCTTGTTTTTTAGTTTGTTCAGCATTTTTTGAACGACGAATTTCAGGACTTGAACGAGTTCTTTTCTGACTTTCTTTTGGAAGTTTAATTTTTTGTATTGAAGAGTTGCTTAATGAGTTTTCTTTTGAGTTTTCCTTCGATTGAGTATGTACTTTGAAAGTTTTTTGGCTGTTCTGCTCTTTGTGCACAGGTGTAGAGAGCATAGCGCAATTTGATGTAGTAGGCATTTCGTTCAGTATATTGTTTGATATATTAGCGATTGAACTTACCGAAGTTGTTGGAAGTAAAGATAAGGCATGAGTAGACGAAACGGATATCAGTTGATGTAGAACTCAAGGTGTTAGTTATCGAGTTTGCAGTGCATACTGTGACGCTATTTGTAGTACATGTTGATGTTGAGCAGGAATGTGCTATTAGATTTGTTGGGGAAAATCCCAGCGTGAGCGTATGAGGTGAGCTTATCAGTGGGGTACGGCATTGTTCACTCCAAGAGTGAGATATACTACCTATTTTTTGGTGTAAACAAGTGTCGTAGTTTTTTTCAATTGAGTTTGAATTGTTTTCGGCCTGTAGCTGTTTTTGGCTTCGTGTTGCTAAGGGACTTCGTTGAACACTCATTATTTGAAATTGTGTTAGTTAATGTTTGGTTTTCGTTGATCTTATTTTGCTATGCACTGGAGCGTTCGCATAAATTAGCGTATCGCCCATGCAGCAGAAAAAGTGATTTTTGAGTAGTAATTATTTTAAAAAGATTAAATTATTTTTAAAAAAGAATCGGTTAAATTAAAATGTTAATTAGTATAAAAATGTACCATATATCACATTTGATTTTGTTTAAGTTGTATTTTAAATGCAAATAAATATTCAAATATTAATATAAATAAATTTTTTATTATTATTTTAATAAAATAAATATTAAATATTAATATAAGTGTTCAAAATTTTCACAAAATAACACGTATTAAATTTATGGATAATTAATTTTATCCAAAATTCGTTTTAGCGTTTTGCAACACTTATTTTAGTTTATTATTTTAAGTTTAAAAGCTTTTATTTGCTGTCTCTATCAGCTTTTATGTGTTTGTGTATAGAAAAACCAGACACTAGTGTAACTATCTGTCTCTGTCAGATTTGTTTAATTTAAATTAAATTTACGTTCCAAAATAAGGCGAATTATTAGAAGAGCGCCAAAATCTTTATGCTATCACAATATAAATACGAACAATTAATTTGAACATTTATTCACTATTTCAATAGTTTCCGCATATATACCGCGATTCAGCACTCAATAACTTCGTTTATCTTGAACTTTGTATGTAGTTATCGCGCTAAACACCCGCTAACTAGTAAAACTTTGTAAGAGCACTATAAAACACGTCCGTACGTGGAGAAGACTATTAGAGAAATTAGATTAGAGTATTAGTTTTAAATATTTAAATTATTCAATTTATTTAAAATGCTCAAATTGGTTCAGTAAGTTGGTTCGTTGAACTTTAGCGATAGATTCCTATTTAGCAATAAATTGCAAAAGGTATCGAAACTTTTAGGTTCTTGTTGTGTTCCTTTGATTATATCTAACTGTTCAAATATACTGCGTAGAGTACTGTCATCTTTCTTGTAAGTTTCAGTTCACCCTATTGGGACATAGGGTTACAATTAAATTCTATTAAGTGCTTTATCGTTGCATGTATAGCGCACTTCCCACATTTCTTTTTTAATCCTCCTTCTCCAGTTTACAGCTACTGCATCTCCTACTTTATAGAAATAAAGTTAAAGCTTGTCGAGAAATGTCTTATGGTGTGCCCATTCAAATTTTACTTATGTACTTCAATTTTATTTACAGAAAATTTTTGGTCTGTTCTAGATAATAGGTCTGTATTGGAAATGCAACTTGATCACCAAATTAGTAAGTTTTTTAGGAAATTTTTATTATTAAATTCTTTGTTCTATCTCTTCGACTCTTCTTCAATGTTCTCAGTCAAAGTAATTGACTGAGCGTAATTTTTTGGTAAGAGCAATACTGTTATCATGTCTTGACCAACGTATTTACTGGACTTGACCTTCGGCTACTTTTTTCTCTACCCAAAATTTATGAAACCCCATGAAAGGAACACCAATGAAAGCAAGAAAATTTACCACAACTGAGAAAATAAAGATCGCATTGCTGAATAGCTCAAGGGCAGATCAAAAATCACTTATCAGAAGTGCTATATAGATTGAAAAATGTCATATAAAGGATCATATGAAGATAACAGAATATCTATTAATGAAAAATTAATATTTACAAAATAAAATCTCCCTATATTTCAAATCATCCTTATTTAGAACGAAAATTATTGGAATTATGTTAAGTATTAAGTATTAAGAGTACTATTAAAACATTAATTGTAGAATAAAATTTTGACTTGCGTTTGTGTAATCCATATGCATTTTTTTTAAGGATTATATATTGCATTTTAATTTTTAATTTCATTAAAATTAAAGTTTTTTTTTGCATGCTGGAATTTCAAGCTTATTAATTTTTTATGCTTCTAGCAAAGTATTTCGTTGCTAAATTGCTGAAAACGTAAACATTATCAATGAAAATAAGGAATCTGTTAAGAATGTAAAGAAAAAATTTAAGTAATTTTATTGAATACTATAGCATCAAATTAAAGACTTGTCACTCTTCAAAATAGAAATAATGGAGTCACCTTCAAAGCTTCTCACACTTAGTAATTCATTTAGCTTAATAAGGCTAACGAAAAAAGTGAAAAATTCTATTTTAAAAGTATTAAGGATATATAATTAATACATAACTTGCGTACTCGAGTTACTCAAACACAATCCTCCGGCACTAAAATATGTTAATGGGGACCAAATTTAGAAGAAGGAATTTTGTACGTTAAGAAGGAATCCTTTTAAATAAAAAAGAAAAACTGGAAAAATTAATTAACAATACAGAAGTCTTTATTTGCAATTTTTTGTTATTTTTTATTAGTTATATTAACTAAATTTTCAGTTTTATATAAACTCAAATAATAAACAGATTTATATTATTTCATACAATTCTAGTAAAGTTATTTAATCGAAATTGGAAACGTTCGAAAATATATATTATGAATTTATTCATTAGTATTCATACGCAATTGGGAGTTCGCAAATTTTTTTTAAAAAAAAGCAATATATAGATCGTATTAAAATACGATTATAAGACAATAGTGCATGATAAAGAAAGTTTTATTGATGAAAAATGTTTGCCAAGTAATAAATATGCATCCTTTAATGCCAGTATTATGGTACTTACACGCTTCATTTTCGACTCTAAAAAAGTCAGCGACTTACCATACTTTTAATCTGAGACTGATCGTGTTTATGAGGTTGAGGACACGGTTAGGTATGGTCTAATAAGCGTAGAGTCTTCATGTTTCCCTGCAAATACTTCATTAAATTCATTGAATATTAAATATATGAATTCATTGAATAAGTTTTGACAGCTTTCTTATTACACGTTCTCTAACAGTTCAATACATATGCTGTTCATAATTCATAACCCAGTCGTCTTATTTCAGCGTGAATTTTATTTTTTTCTTTGAATTAAGTCAATATGCTTTATAACTGCTTTATATTTTATAGCGACGCAGCTTGCAATCGTCCATAATATAGAAATGGACACTAAACACATTCTGCTCCCATTCTGCTTCTGCTGATTTAAATATGGCGTCTATTCGACTTTTTGCAGGGTCTTGACATGAATATTTTGCTCTTTTCACTTACACTTTCCGACGTCTGCCGAAGTTCAGTCGCATATTATGACAAGCATGGCTTATTTGAAGAAACCCTATCCTTCAAAATAATTCGCTTACCTGTGCTTTTGTTCAGATTTCATATCCAACTATTCATAGCAAATCTCAGAAAATTGTCTTAATTTTTTAGTTCCAGAAATCTTTTTATATTACTTAAGTGTTAATAATTTACTAGTGTCAACTGAAAGAAGAATTAATTATTTAATTTCCAGTTTCTGTTACTCACTTTTTAATAGATTCATTAAAAATTTATAATGCAAATTAGTCAATAATGAACAATCAACTAAATAATTATGTGCAGTTCGTGATAGACAAAGCTATCAACTTTTCAATTTTGAAATCATTCATTTACAATGAATGTGGTGGTCTTTGGTACAATTGACCACACTGCGGACTTGGAAAATATCATTTAAATTTGTAGAGGAACAAGATAGTCGTAGCATCATTCAAGTCAATTATTCGCAATATTTATTATGCATATATAGTGTATAGTATATAAATATATATGCTACATATCACGAATATGTATTTGTTGGTAATAAGTGGCATGTGTTTGTTGACAATTTCGATAATTCATCACTGTCGTTCTCTTTGGTGCAGACAATCTCATTATTCTTCTGCAATAAGTGAACTGAAGTTCAAATAAACTGAGTTGTGGATTTAAACGAGTGCAAACTGCAATTTATTTGCCTCAATTGCTTTGGTTGCTTGATTTCAAAATCAAAGAATCTATGTAAGTAGCTTTGACGTTTGCCAAAATGGTTAAATCCTAACAGCAAAAAACTTGAGATATGTTACGACATTGGATGAAATTGGATTTTGCTCCTAGCACACTAAATGGATGGATGAAAACATATAAAAACCAGAAGCGTGAATTTAAAATAATGGTTGCGCTTTCCAAAAGATTTCAGCTATTGTGCAGTTTCTGATTTTGGTTGTTGTTTCAAACAAATCTCTGTAGATATTTGGTAAAGTAAAACGTGATAAGTTGTATACGAAAATGAAGTTAGATTGTATTGAATATTACTATTGCTTCATCTGGTTGCTGAGCAATATTCACCCAATAATCGAAGGACATTTCATATTCATTGTTCACACATTGCAGTCGATTATCCTTTTCAAATTTTTGTTGACATGGGTTTTCACAGAAAAAAAGAAACAGTAAAAGCACCAAAAAATCAAACTAACCAAAAACCCGAATTCTGGTTAATAAAAAAACACCCATTTTAAAAGAGGGTTTCAGTGTAGGATATGTATAATTGCGGTACCAAAAATGGCTTCGCATTCCTTTTTTTTGCATGTGGCATGTGTTTTGTGTTTACCAAATGCAAACACTGGAAATATTTGAGGTTACGAAGAGCACTGTTTGCCAAATTAAGTTCTTGTTATCTTTTAATTTATAGGCTTGATGAAAACATCGAAGTTTTATTGATTATGGAAAT